GTATGTATACATTATAAAATATCTGTAACATGGTTTTTCCCATATTCATAATTAATTATTTATAATTACATTTTCATTCTTTTCAGTTACTTCCGGTGGAACTACGAAGAGACAAAGCAGTTCTAGCAACATTTTCAGGACTTCTAGAACGTGCGTTGATTTCCCATCAGTAAAGTGAGTACTTTTCTTTTTTACTTCTGTTTACTTGAACTGGATTTTTAATATAAATTCAAAGTTGTTCATTTTACGTATTTCTGAATCGAAGGAAATAATGCATTTCATACATTGTACTTGCAAATTAAACTTGTAAGTCATATTTATAAGTTTAAAATCAAAACTTATAAATCATTAATGTATTTTCAACATGCATTTTGCATTTATAAAAATGAAAAATGTTTCTGTTTTGTGCGCTCGTTTAAGCGCAAATTATCAAATAAGTGTTTTATCACGATGCTACAACGATTGACAAGCGACGTAACCAAGGTAAGTAAAACAAATGTACATTTGTAAAATGTAATTTTTTGCAAAAACAGCGTATTTTAGTAATCGTTCACGTGATAACATTCGAATACGCGCGGTTTCTTTCTTTGCACGATAAAATGTAACCAAGCCGATTGCCATTTGTCGAACACTCAAGAAAGAGGCTTGAGATTATCTTATATAAGTAACTGTAAATGAAGAAATGGGAGGTAACATCGCTGTGTGTATCTGTACGATGCACATAACACAAACGAGAAAGACTACGTCATTCTGGAATTTTCGAAAGTTTCGTCTAACCGGTTTCTGGTTGCACACACACAGTAAGACCTGTTTAGTACTCGCCGGTACTTGTATCAAGATGAACTGCATATGGTGTAGAACATAATTGCGTCATTTATTTATTTTTTTTTTACAATGTTTAGATGAATGTATGTACGGGGTTAGAAGGTTTTGAATGAAATCGATCGTAACATGATAATGGGTATGAAATTATTATTTAAAGTTGCAATTTCACCACTTGTTATGAATAATAATCGTTTTTAAAAATACATAATCGTATCGCGTACAGATAAGTATCCTTATCGACATCATCAGATGTAAATGTTAATAATAATATGATATGTCACAACAATGGTATTTTACGAGTGATAAAAGATTTGTTGTAATCAAAACGAATAGGTACGTTTCGATTTTCGCGCCATTGTGCCGCGATTCGCCACGGTCTGTCACCGTCCGGCATGGTGAACGGTTAACGTGTACGGTCGCAAACTTATTGGGCAACGGTTGTAATTCTTTTCGGTAGTACCGTCACGAATGAAAAATGATAATGAGCATAGTGCTGTAGGTTAGTGAGAACAATAGCCACTTACACTAATCAACGGAGGTGTATGCCGTGCGCGTTCGGTAGTAAAAATATTTTCGGCTATAGCTCGTGTCATGAATGAAGAAACAGCGAGACATTGCCGAATTTGTCCCCGACCATGAAGTCGTTCCTTCGCCGTGACTGAATTTTTGATCTTACGATTAGGTACATACATGTACGCGTCTGTTATTTCGCCGATGTCAGGCTCGTGCGTATCAACAGGCTTCGCTCGTCGAATCACGAGACCCAAGGACATTTTTCAGTCTTGAGTACCCAGCGATGCATTATTCCCCGCTGCGCGCGTTAATAATGGAAACAAAAATCAAATCTTGCGAGGATTCAAGGTCCGCGAGGAAGCAAGACTTCAAGTGCGGCCAGTTCATTCGGATAATGATGTAGGTTAGGTTCCCAGTGGTATATATCGCAAAAATCAACATTCTTCATGAAGCTGAGGTTCGCAAAAAGCGTAAACCGGTTTGCCTCGCGTAAATGGCACACGAGCGTGCGAACGGGAGACAGACGTGAGGAAAGAGACCGGGAGAGAGAGAGATTTTTCTCGAGAATATCCTTAGAAAACGAAACGAATTATTTTAGAAATCAAAATGATTCGTCTTGTTTATCCATACTACGTATATTATCCACCCTCCACCACAAAAGCATTATTGCCATTGTCACTTTGCAATTGATAGGCTTTATTACTTTACCGTATAGTTGATTTATTATATTAAGGCTCTCAGCCATAATAGACCACCAATGCGTATGTTTTTATTTGTCACGCCCCCCTTCCCCCACCCTTTCTTTCGCTGTACTACACACACGCGACGTCAGCTTGTACATACTCAATGTTGTCTGCCCTGCCGGCCTGCATCGTCGCCGAACATGAAATTCTTGTGGAGAAAGCATGCTCAAGCGCAGCCCGGTTCCAGAATGATTGTAAACGCAAGGCCAATGTACTATAAAACGAGAAAGAAGTTGTTCCTGTTCGCCCGTTGAGTAAACGTGAGCAACTAACTTCATTGTTGTCCCATGTCGAGCAAGACGATTTTATTACGATTAAAGTCACGAGGGAACGTTGCGACGCACGTTAATCAAGTTCATGAGAGGTAGACACCGTTTTTTCTGCGTAACACCGACAAGTGACGTCAGATTGTTGAACGTGCTGCTAGCCGACTGTCGCCGACAGACATGAAAATGTTGCGAGGAAAGCACGACTGAACGTAACCTAAATTCAGACAGAACGGCAAGGCCAATATATGTATACACCGAAAGAAAGAAAAAAACTACCAAGGCACAATGCTACATACGTATAAAAACCAACAAACA